TTAAAAAATTATGAACACATTATTTTATTTTTTCTTTATATTCTGAGAAGATATTCGCAAACTTAAGTTTGTAAGTTTAAAAAAATGTTTTTAATCATTAAAGTCTGATTAAATTCGCTTCAGGTTTGTTTAAGCTTAATTAAACATTAAACAAAGTTTTCAAGTTTCATAAAATCATCATGTTTTGATTTAAGTTTTATTATTCGTTTCATTGTAAAAAATGTTTCTAGAAATCACCTGCTTATGAAAAGGTATCCAAGTTGACGTCCCATCTTTTGTAAAAGATTGAATAATTGTAGGTATATTAAATACAACAGTATCCTTTATTTGTTCGTCTGATTGAACAATTGTTCCATTAGGAAGCTTCCAACTCAAAAAAGTATTTTCATTCAACCGTCTTGGAGCGCAGTAAAGAGAAAAGTATTCTCCAACATTAGCACTCAAGTAATTACCAAAGGGCAAAATTAAAGGTTTGTTTGAACATTTTTGATTTAATTTAAAAGATTTAATTATTGTAGTTAGTGGAATGGTAGAGATTGAATTTTGACTTAAAAATTTTTTTGAAAAATAGCCATAAATTAAACTAACCTTTTTCTAGCTTTACAAGTCGCTTCTTTAAGATCTACAATTTTATGGGTAAAATTTGTAAAAGTTTCTTCAGCACAACTACAATCTAAAGGGTTTCCACTTATAAACAAGCGAGTAGGTTGTTCTAATATTTTATTGTCTATTGTCTCCAATGAATTGTTTGAGATTACAAGCCTGATAAGTTTGTAATTAGGTATATTAAAAATATTTAAGGTTTGTTTCTAAAAGATAATTACAAACTTAAGTTTGTAAGTTTAAAAAAGAATGTTTTTAATTCAGAAAGTTTAATTAATATTGCTTCAAGTTTATTTAATTTTAATTAAACTTGTTTCAAGTTTTAGAAAACCAGCATGTTTTAATTCAAGTTTTAACTTGTTTGAATAAACTTGTCAAACCAACATGTTTTAATTCATGTTTGTAAGTTTTTAATAATTAATTTCAAGTTTATTAAAACTTACTCGTATAACAAACTGTTTTGGAATGCATATGGAGAGATATATTGTAATTGTGAATTATTAGCTAATTTGAGAAATTGTAAAACAGGCGTGAATGAAAATGTTCGTTGTTCAATTAGACGTAAATTTGGGCAATTAGAAATATCCAAATTCTTTTATTTAAAAATTATTTTTTTGAATTAATTAAGATCCTTTTCAAATTACTTGTAGCATTGGCTGAACAATTTCTCCTTCACAAATTTTAGTTATCGGATTTCCACTAAAATTTAACGTTCTAAGGGCAACAAATTGTCTTAGATCTGCGGGGATTGTACTAAAATTGTTGTAAGAGAGATCCAATGATTCTAACTTAAAATATTTTCTTAAAATTAATTTTTAAAAATTAAAAATACCTGAAATAAAGGAGAGAAAGAATCATAATCAAAACGGTGAAGACGATTATGAGATAAATTTAAAGATTTTAATTTTTGTGCAGCGAAGAATGAGGAACTCTAAAAAATTGTTTTTATCTTTATGCTTTAAATTTTGTAAAAAAAATTTTTTCCTAATTTACCTGTGCAACAGACAATAAATTATGGCTTAAATCAAGCTCTTCAATTGCTGGACTGTCTCTCATCATGTGTTCATTTATTGTCTTTAAAAATTTAAATTTTTTAAGAAATTTATAAAAATTAGTTTAATATCTTCAGAAAAATTATTTTTAAAAATTTAAAAAAAAAATAATAAAAAAAAATTTTTTACAAGCAAATAATTTCCTCTCAAAATTAATTTCTTCAATTTTAGAAGCCGAAAAGCTTCCCATTCTACACTGACAATTCTATTTTGATTCAGATTAATTTCTTCAATATTTGGAAATGAAATAAAATCGCTTCTAGAGATGCTCTAAATTAATTTAAAATTTATTAAAAATTAGTCTATTAAAAAATAAATTTACAGTAATTTTATTTTCACTCAAATCCAAGCTAATTAATGAAGGAAATTGTGAACGAATTGAGTCGCCTGATGGTTCTCTTCAAGAAATAAATAATTAAAAATTTTTATAAAATATTTGACCAAATTTAAAAATTTAAAAAAATGATTTTTTAAAACACCATTAATTGCGCACATTAATATGTTAAACGCAACAAGCTTAGTTATTTTTGTTTCAGGTTATTCAAGTTTATTTAAACAAAGTTTCATGTTTATATAAACTTTGATTTTATTTTTTTTATTTCAGGTTTATTTTATTTCAAGTTTGTTTTTTTTCAAGTTTATTTATAACAAGTTTATTTTTATTCAAACTTGTTTAAATTCATGTTTATTTAAAACAAGTTTGTTTATTATATTTAATTTTTTCAAGTTTATCTTTACCAGCTTTATTCCAAACAAGTTTATTTATTCTTAAAACTTTATTCTAAACAAGTTTTAATTTTTTTCTTTACCTAAAACTTTTCTCATCCATTCCAACATGCTCTAAATTATTACCACGCAAATTAAGCACTAACAATTTCTCCATTCTAGGGAAAATTCCCATATTTTCAATTTCACTATTTATAATGCTCAAATTTTGTAAGGAAGCTGAAAATTGTGTTGGGAATGCACCTCCTTTAAATCATTAAATTAAAAATTTTTTTTTAATTTTTAAAAATAACCAGAAATAAAAAGATGGCGTACTTCTGTTCTAGACAGATTTGAGCAATAAATAGAAAATAATTCTGGTAAAAAATATTTTTTTTAAAATTAAATTGTGTTAATTTACAAAATTTTTTTATAAAAAAATTAAAATTATTTTTGCTTTTATTGTATTAGGTAAAAAAAATTTTTTTATTCATTTTTGTATTAATTTTTAAACTAATTTAAATTTCAGAGTCATTAACTTTAAATTTAAAAATAAAGGAAATTATCAGAAAAAAGGAAAATAAATTTAAAATTTTGTATTAGTAGAAATATTTTTAGAAATTAATTTAAAAATAAATTAAATTAAAAAAATTATTCCAACCTTCATTACAAAAACACTTTAACGGACAGATTGCCGTGTCGCTTTTTATTATTAAATTTTGATGGGATATTAAAACAAAAAATTTAATTATTAAAATAATTAATATTAGTGTTAACATTTTATTTTATACTACAATTAAAAAATTAATTTTAAGCAAAAAATAAAAATTTTATTTTAGTAAAAATAGTATAAGAGAAATTAAGGTAAAATTATTGAAAGAGAATAATTTAAAAAAATTTTTTTTGATTTTTTAAAAATTATTTTTAAAACAATTAAAATATTTTTAGAATGTCTTGAAATAATTATTGAAAAAATTGTTTTATTTATTTAATTTTAAAAACACAATTTTTTAAAATATTGAAAACATTTAAATTTCGGAGTTGATCTAATAATTTTAGAATTGAGAGTTAAAATAAGGCAAGGATTCTAAGGAAAATTTCTAAGGAAAATGGATCTGGCAAGGCTGGAAAAGAATAATTTTTAAAATTAAATTGTGTTATTAATTTACAAATTTTTTCATAAAAAAATAAAATTATTTTTACTTTTATTTAATTAAAAAAATTTTTAAATTAATTTTTACATATAATAATTTTAGAATTGAGAGTTAAAATAAGGCAAGGATTGATGGATACGTACTTTTGTTACGTAAATTTAGATATTTTTAACTATTTTTTTGTAAATTATTTTTTAAATTTAATAAAGTTACAATTAAAAATTAAGTAAAAATTAAGTAAACAAATAATTTTATTATTCAAAAAATTAACCCAAATACCTAATTATTTCAAATAAAATAAACATTATAAAGTATTTCACTCAATTTTTGTTCCAACAAAAATCCCCCTGTGAAATTTATTTTTTTAACTTTTTTTTCATTTTAAAAACAATAAAAAAAGAAAAAAAAATAAGAACAGCAACAAAAGAAAAAAAATTAAATATGCGTGCCATTAACTTTGAAAAATTTTTTTGGCCAAAAAAAGTTGTCAACAGTTAAACAAAAATTTTTTTATTTTTTTGTTTCTTTTTTTGTTATTTTTTTTTACTTTTTTTACTTTTTTAAAGTTCTGTCGTTAATAGAAAAAAATATTTTTTTTTATTTTTTAAGGTATGCGCATAAGTAAATAATGCAGAAAATTTAGTATAGGGGAAAAAGGATAATGGGAAATGAGGGAAAATGTTTAGAAAAAAATTGAAAAAAGTAAAAATACTTGTGTAAATATTATTGAAGTAAATATTTATTTATTTAAAATAATTTTAAAAAATAAAAAAGAGTTCTTTTAAAAATTATTTTTGAAAGTAAACTATTATATTAAATTTCAAGATTTTTAAAATTATTTTTTTGTAATAAAGTCGGTCCTCGATTGTAAATATTATACTTTTTGATAACATTAAATTAACTGCACAGTTTATTCTTAAAGTAACTTTCTTCAAATAAAAGTGAATGAGATCAAGAAAGGCTTATATGTATGATAAAGAATTGAAAAAGGAACAAAAATTTTCAAGAAAATTCGAATTACTTAGCATTTGTTTGAATAAAGAGTTCAAAAAGCGCAGAAAATTTTTTGACAAAAGTTCGCACCTCCCCAGGTTTTTGATGAAAAAATCAAAAAAGTGTAAGTAAAATAGAGGTTTATTCAAAATTAAAGATATAGTCTAAGCAGATTTTCCTCCCCTATCCATCAAATGTCAAATTTTAAAAATAAAAAAATCTAAGGTGTATCCAATTTTAGAAGAGGATAGTAAAATAGAGATACAATTGTTGTGTAGTGGTGACACTACTATAAAAGCCACGTTAAGCGTCAGCTAAATCATACTAGCCCGGCTAGTCCCTGATCTCCTTCGTCTGTCCCATTCCCTTCGCCCACTTATTGTTTATTTCTCTTTGTGATAAAGTGTTATTATTGTGCATGTCGACATTAGTTTAATCTCGGACACCTCGGGTCGTAACACCCCTCAGCCGACAGGTAGAAACAATAATTACCCAAAGTAATTATTCGAGCATATACAGTAATTATAACATATTTTTAAAGAAAACCCCCTTATTTCTAATCCAGGAAGAAGAAAATTATCATCAATTTGAGAAAACATTTAAACGACTCTTTGGTTTTGTGGGTAAAGCAAGCTGGACACTTATCATCAATTTTATTAAAAAACATTCTGAAGCTGATGATAAAATGTGCAAAAAGGCAGAAGAAGCACAAGAGAAAATGGAATCAAACATTAAATGTTTTGGATTTTTTAAATTAAAAATTCCTATTTTTTCAGTATTTAATGCTTTAATATTAGTTTTGAATAAAACTAAAAACAACAAAACCTATCGAGACTGGCAGGTCTACTACAATGAATATAAAAAAAATGAGAATTAATCAAGGAAAACCCCCTTCGCCTACACATTGTTATTTCTCTTGGATAAACTGTTAATCATTGCACTTTCGTACATCCTTCGGAAATAACAACAATGATTAAAATTTGAATTAAATTAAAAATATTTTTGGAAATATTTTTAAAATAACTTTGAATAATTATTGAAAATAAATAATTAAATTTAATAAAAATAAATAATAATGCCTAAATATATGCTCATTATTTATTAAATAAAAACAATTTATATTCTCGAGCATTTGTATTAAAATAGAAATTAAATAGAAAAATAATGGCCAATTATTATGAGGATTAGAGAGGTTCGTGACTCTAAATTTTTTTTTCAAATTTTTTTCTAATTTATATTGAATTTTATAAATTAATTTAAATTTAATTTTAATTATTTTTTTTTAAATTTAAAGGAACTTTGAATAGAAAAGAAAAAAGATTTTGACCAAAAATTTGTGTAATGGACCAAAAATAATTTTTATAAAAATATTTTTATGCCAAAATATTTTTAGAGAATAAAAAGGAAATATTGCCAATTTATGGCAAGGGTTTATTGAAGCGATAAAAATAAATAAAAATAAATATAGATTGATAAAATAAATATAGAAGAGAACATTTATTTAAATAAATTCTAAAAAAAATATTTTTAAATAATAAAAAATATAATTTTATTATGATTGACAGTCGAAGTTTATTTAAAAACAAAAGGATAGCTAAATTTGTGGGTAACGAAAACTTCCCCTTCCAATGTAGAAGATAATGAAAATCGCATATAAAAAGGCTCCTGCGCCGCTGCTCAATGACTGGTGCTGCACGGTTCAAAAAGAGCATAAACAATTAGGCAAAAAAGGTCTACATTGGAGACCGGACTGGAAGTGTCGTACGAGAATTGAGACCCCGAAAAATTCTCGTACTCGATAACAGAGATTTTCGATCGAGATCTCATCTAGGTCCGGTCTTTAGTCTACATATATTTATTTATGAAATAAAATTTTTTGTAAATTATTTTGTTATTAATAAAGTTAGAAAATACATAAATAGGTAAATAATTTCAGTTTTTAAAAAGAAAAAAACTAAGTGATACCCCTTATTTACAAGAAAAATTTAAAACTAGAAAAAATAAATTCAAAAATAAATAGTATGTATTTCCCAATAAAAAATTTAAATTAAAAAAATAAATTAAAAAATAAAAAAATATTTCCCAATAAAAATAAAATTAATGTCAATATTTACTTATTTAATGCAAAAACTAATTAAATGTACAAATGTGTGGAATGCTTAAAATTATATTGAGATAAATAAAGGCAGCTGTATTTAAAAATAATAAACTTGAACTGAAAATTGAATGAGAAAAAAGAAATAAGATGTAGACGATAAAGAAATAAAAATAAACTTTAAATTAAAACTTGGAAAAAAGCTTGAATAAATTTGAATAAATAAACTTGTAAAGGAATGATAAATAAACTTGAAATTTAACATAAAAATAATCCTAAACAAAATAAACTTGAAAGATATAAAACTTGAATACATAGATACATAGAAAATAAACTTGAAATAGCTAAACTTGGAAAATAAACTTGAAAAATTAAACTTAGAAAAATAAAACTTGAAATAATTGACCATGAATTAAATGAACTTGGAAAACAAGAACTTGTTTATTTCTATAAACAAGTGTGCGCAATAGAATTGTTCAATTTAAGTAACCTCTATATTTATAGAAGAAATTCTTAAAAAATATTTTATAGAAATTAATCTTCAAAACTTTTTAGTTTATCTAACCTAAGAAATATTTTTTGAATATTTTTTAAATAATTATGATAGCTGTGGGAAATTTATGGCCAATCCTCAACATGAGTCTTTTTAATATTTTTTCTTTTTTTAGGCCAATGGTCAGTATATTTGAATATAATAAATTCTTTTCCTGCCTTTTTTCACTCATTTTTACTTCAATTGTCCACATTTAAAAAAGAAAAAAATTCTTTAGAAAATAAGAGACAGCCCGGGTAATTCAAGCTTTTTTACTTTAAAAATCTTTTAAATTGCCACACATTTTATTGGCCATAAAAAAATTTTTTAAACGTTTTGATGGACAACATAAGTTATTTTTAAATATAAAAGTGACCATCAAATTTGTAAAATAAAAGTAAATGATTGGCAATTGAAGATTTTTGGAGTTTGACGTTTTTAGAAGTAACTTTTTTGATTTATTTGTGACATGTGACAACTGTGATGGGTAAAATAAATAATTTTTAATAGTAAATAAAACAATTTGGAATTTTATAAAAATAAATAGAAATAATTAATTATTTTTAATAATTTTGCTTAAATTAGTCGAATGGTCAAATTAAAATATTACGATCGTAAAATAGCTACAGGAACGGCATAATGCAGATATTCTTTCTGATACATACATACACGAATAGGCAGAAACGGCAGTTTGACCACTACTACCAGAGATAGATCGGAATTCCGATTTCCGGAGTTTTTTCTTTCCGATTTCCGAAAAGAATTTTGATTTCCGATTTCCGACTTGTGAGCTAGTTCCGATTTCCGACTCTTCCGATTTCCAACAACTCTGACCAACCTCTGATACTTATCCATTAATCCATGTATAAACTAAATTAATTTTTTGGTCCTATTGGATTAACTCTCCCTCATCCTCCTTTTCGTCTGCTTCCTCGAAAACTTCGAGATGTTTTAATGGTTCCGTGACTTTTGCGCCGAGAACATTTGCGCCGCGACTCTTGCGCCGCGACTTTTGCGCCGCGACTTATGCGCCTAGCGACTTTTGCGCCGGGGAACCTTTGCGCCGCGACTTTTGCGCCGGGCGACTTTTGCGCCGCCACTATCATTAAAAATATATGAATAACTACAGCCGGACCTCACTATAGTAGGGTTGTCGGATAGTTGAAATCTTCTGATATCCGGATCCGACAATCCTAGACTATAATGCACCCTCTTGGGGCTGAAAATCATGCCGGAATAGGTTGCAGATCCAAATATCCTGATCCGAAAAAGTCAGCACATCAGAAATCATTTGGGATATCGGATCCGGGGATTTCCAAGCCCCTAAAGTGAGGTACGATTGTAGTTATTATTTTATTTTTTTAAAATAATGGCGGCGCAAATGTCGCGGCGCATAAGTCGCCCGGCGCAAAAGTCGCGGCGCTAAAGTCGCGGCGCAAAAGTCGCCCGGCGCAAAAGTCGCGGCGCATAAGTCGCGGCGCAAATGTTCTCGGCGCAAAAGTCGTGATACCGTTTTAATATAAATTTTCAAAAATTATTTTTCGGTCTCTAAAGATTAAAATTTTCAAAAAAGAAAAATAAATAAGAAAAGTACAGCTTAAAATTGTCTAAAGCATTCGTTGAGTAAATTGGATTATATTTTAGGAAAATAGGAAAAGGAGAAAATTAGGCGATAAATAAAGGGGAGGGAAGAAGTTTAGTAGAAGAATAAAGTCACACAAATGGCCACAAATTGGCTAAAACTCTAAAAATGGAGAAAGAGAAGGAAGTCTTTTCGCGTGATGAGTAGAGCAACAAACAAACACTTTAAAGCCTTAAGGGGAAATTGAGAGAAAATAAATAAATTTTGGAAAAAATTAGTAGTTAAATTTTGTGTGGATGTTATTTTATAAATAAAAAAATTAAATTTTTAAAAATTTCATTAAAATTATTTTTAAATTTAATTGTGTTAATGACTTAATCGATCTCGAATAATTCCCTATGCTAGAGCTGGGTTGAAACAATAATTCCCCACCCCCAATACCATACTGCACGTTAAAGTGCCTAAATTTGATTAATTCCCCTCCTCGATTAATTCCCCATCCAAGGAAGGGTTATAAAATAATTCCCCAGGGGAATTAATCGAGAAAATACGGTAGATCAAAATTAAAGGTGAGATGGAATTATGATTTCTTCTTTCTGATTTACAATTTCTAGAAGGGTTTTTTCCAATTTCCTAAATTTTTATTTGAATTTCCGATTTCCGAAATGTGAACGAGAACGTGATTTGATATGTAATTCTGATCGGAATTAAATTTGATTTTTGTTAGAACGAATATTAAAATAAAATTAAAACCATAAGTTAGATAATAAATGGGGGATTTTAAAATAATTAAGATTTTAACTTAAAAATTTCGAAATAAAAATAAATACAAACTAGTTCCAATCTCAGTTTGCTAAAATTAAGAGTGTCAAATAAATAAACAGTAAATTGTTAGTGCTGTTTGCCAGACAGCAAATTAACGCAAATTGAATTTACTCGTTTTATTGTTTGTTTAGTTCAATAAAAAAATAATAGAAATAAAATTTTTTAGTTGAATAAAGCTTTTAATTATTTTTTATTATATTTTTTTAATCATTTCCAAACAATGATTAATTCAGTTATGTTTGATAGCTCTTAATGTTCTTTGATAATTTATTTCCGAAGTTGCCAAACGTTCTTCCGATGGCTAGAACGAGAGTCAAGCTCTTGTCTCGTTTTTTATGGTGTTAGGAAAAGCACTAGGTCTGAAGAAACTGGATCATCTTAATCAGATTAGTGAATTTGAAGCGGGATGGTTCTTCTTCTTTAGTCTTCTTAATAGAATCCATAGTTATCTCCAACTCTACTGATATACCATTTGATCCATTTGCTACATACTAATTATGAGTGATATCGGTAGACGAGATATCAGTGTTATCATGGGTTGTATGATATCGAAGGACGGAAAGTAATTCGCAATTTTGTTTTTAATTCTCGTGAAAATGAAGAAAATTAGAGAAAAATAATTTTTACCTTATAGATAATAGAGAATCGTCATTTTTAAACTCAATTCTAATTAGTTTTTTAATTAATTTCTTTTATTTTTTCCCTATTTTATTCAAAAAATTTTTTCTTTATTATTTTTTATTATTACTAATCTCTACTATATTAAAGTATTTTCACTAAAATAATCGCAAAAAAGCTGCTTTTCCTCTCCCACCGTCTATATCTTTTTTTACTTTTATTTTTTTTTCTCGATAATACCTCCCCTTAAAATAAATAAATACAAGATTTTCACCTTTTTTCTTTTTTTTTATTTGTACAAATATTTTGTATATATTTTACCTTTATTTTTGCCCTTTTTCAATGATTCTTCGTTTTTTTTATTTTTACAAAAACAAATAAATGAATGATGTTTTATTGTGAGACATGTAAAGTAGTGGAGAAAAAGTGTTTCTTTCTCCGTTATTTTTATTTTTTATTACAAAAAATTGATATTTTATTTTAAAAATCATTAGCTAATTTAATAATTTTAACAATTATTTGTAATTTTTTAGTAATTTTGTAATTGATAGGTCGTTCCATAATTCGAAACCTTGGATCGTTACGAAAACAAAAAAACTAAAAAAATTTAGCTCATATTTATTTGAACAGGCATTGTATTTTAAATTTAATATTGTTACTTAAAAATGTAGAGAAATGAAATGGGTTATTCTTTCTCTAATGAGGGTAATTCTGAATCCAGCGACAGAGAGATTGGGATAATTTCTCTCAGGTTAAAACAAAATAAATTCTTTTCCAGACAAAGTTTATTTCTTTCACAAAAAAATATATTAAAGTAAGGATAGGAAAAATTGCTAATGTGAAGCAAAATAATAAGGAAGGCTAAGAAGATTTACAAACTGATCAATCTAGGAAGAAGAATAAGCATATATATACAGGCCAAAGTTTTATATAAATAAAATAAAAATAAGGCTGGGAAAAATTCTTTAGATATATTTAAAAGATAAGGAGTACAAAAAATAAAATTGAATTAAAAATAAAATTTTAATTAAAGAAATTTCGCATTTCGCGACAAAAATATTTTTTTCATCTAAAAACAAAATTTCTATTTTTTCCCTTCTTAAGATTATTAAAATATTTTCAATACAACTAGAGATCGGAATCTGCTACAAAAATTTTGGTTATCGAATATCGAAATTTTGCGACTTCTAGTAAAATTCTCTCATTAAAATTAAGTACAAATAAATTTGAAAAATTATTCTTTAAAATTTATTTTTAAAATTAATTAGTAAAATTTATTCAAAATTAATTTTTAATATTAGCTCATACAAATTCCAGAAATACTTCCTATTCAAAATTAAAAATGCCTGAAATTTCTGCCGATAAAGAAATTCAAGAAATCTTAAAAAGTATTCAACGAGTACGCTATTTAATACAAAAAGTAATTAGAGGAACGGAAAATATAACTGTAAAAATGGAACCGGCACTTTCTGAAGCTGAAACTGTTTTGATTGATGCTAGAGAAGCTGTGGCTAATGCAAGCAATGTTTTTGTGGAATTTTCTAATTATAATGTAAATTAATTAATTTTTAAAATTTTTTTATGATTTTTGAAAAATATTTTTTGGAGAAAATATTGAGAATGAAAGAAAAAAGCAAGTAATTTTAACATTATTTGGGGTTTTATTAAATTATTTAAGCTGAGGGACAAAATCCGACAAATTGTTGTAGTTGAACGAGCAAATCTAATATTATTTTCTCGATTAATTCCCCACTCTCGATTAATTTCCAATGCCAGAGATGAGTTGAAAAATAATTCCCCAGGGGAATAAATCGAGAAAATCCAATAGTTATTTGAATTAGCTCGTACTTAT